CCAACGACACAACACTAGCAACCTTCTCGGCAAGCAGAGTAGTGTTAAACGCTCTGAAAACCTTTAAACTTTGTCAGTTAAGATTTCCCCTTCAAACAAGCTAGGCACTTAAATAAGGCTTATGCTAGATTCTATCACTAATACAGATACAGAAATGATTTTTACAAATGTTACTATCCTTGAGGTGGCACGTCCTATAGGAGTTCATTTTATAGATATAGTTTTTATTTTTTATAGATATATTTGGTGGTTTAAAAGCTAGATGGCTGCCCCGAGAGACAACATGGATGAAGAAATGATGAATATTATCAACACCGGCACTCAGTTTGCCGATGGTGACCAGCAGGATGTAGATGACGGGAGTTAATACCTGGCTCTTGAAGATAACTAAGAAAATATTGTGCAAGAAAATACTGGCGAGGTATATATATTTATATATATATATATTTGAATATTATATATATATTTTAATATCTATCATCTATTATGTGTACACATGATATTGATTTATTCTTTTTTATACGTAGCCCTCTGGATCGACGACCACAACGGTGAAAAGCAAAAAAAATTCAAGGACCGAAAAAGCCATTGGAGGGGCGCTACATAATATCAGAATTCAATATCGAGACAGGCGAACCACTTGGTCCACATGCAAAGAAATTCATGCAACACTGTGGGTGCCTTGTAAGGGACAGACTTCCGATCAGTGCCCGTGAATGGAAGCAAAAGATCAATGAGCCTCATGTTAGTTTTGTCTCTGATCTTGATAAGAATTTAATTTGGGATGATATCCTTCAACATTTCACGTTGCAAGCGGATGATTATGATGCTATCAACGATGATGAATTGAAGGAACTAGTTCGAAAGTGGGCTATGAAGAAGATGGCCACACAATTTTAGACTTGGAAGAAATCCCTATACACGAAATACGTCAAGAAGAACCTAACGCCCAATTTAAATACTAGTGGCCTGCTCGCGAAGTTGAGGCCCTACTGGAATGATTTTGTACAGTACAAGACATCGAAAGTGGGTGAGGAACGAGTGAGAAGGAACCAAGACAATGCCCAACAGAAGGTATACCACCATGGCATGGGATCAGGTGGCTACGTGACTGTCATTCCCAAGTGGGAAAAAATGGAAGTGGACATTCTTGCCAAGGGTATCACACCAGAATCACTCAATTGACCCAAACGCGTGAAGAATTGGTTTTTCGCTCATGGGGGAAGACTGGACCTAGAGACCGGGAAGATGGTTCATGGCCCAAAACTCGAAAGAGCAACACAAAGATTTTCTTATGCTCTACAAGCTAAAACTATTGGTGCGTTCAGGCCTAATAGAGAGAAGGATGAACTGACGTATGCCCTCAGGACCGCTGAACACAGTGGCCGAACGAGAGGTTTAGGACGGAACATTTCTTGGGAGCATTGTTTCCCTGACGATAGAGATACCTACAGAAGCCGACAGAGAAGGAAGGATGAGGATGCAGCGCGGATCAGCAGGTTGGAGGAATTGGTTCGTGAGTCACGGGAGGCGTTGCTTCAAGCATAGGAGCGCGAAAAAGACATGCAAGCTAGAATGCAGGACGAAATCATAAAGCAAGTGCAAATAGCAATGAGTGCCCAAAGGCAGGCATCAGATCTAGGAATCAACATTAATATTAGCCCCCCTGATTAGTTGAAAAGCAGCTGCGCTTCCATGGAGTTGCCAAATCAAGATGATGCAATGCTATGTTTCCCCGTGGATGACATCACTGCACCGTTTACATCATGTGAGCTACATATTCCAAAAGAGAATGCCACAATCATGGTGGCTCTCGGTGTTTTTTCTCCTCCAGATCCTATCAAAACACCAAGAATCCATGGGGCAATAATACCACCTAGATATGTTAGCGTCTCAATGGATAGAGTTAACAAAGGTTTTAGTGATCTGCCTCTTGACATTCCAGGAGGTGATGGGGAGAAGACTCTAGGAGAAGCAGAGAAGACATTCATACTATGGCGCAAGCGCTACATCATTATTCCTGGGGTCTCTAGTCCACCGCCGCTTCCTCAACTGCCAGACAATAGGTGCGGACAAAAGTGAACGAAACAATTTTTTCACAAATTTTCTATTGACATGCGTGATTAATAATAACAATTATTCTTTTTTGTAATCACACAGCAGGGCCTCCACCAAGCTAAGTCCAATTATTCAATCTCCAGATCATCATAGTGCTCCGGGCAATGATTATGCAACGCCACCACCGTCGCCACCTCCAAGGAGGTCTCCAACGCCTCCAAGGAGGTCTCCACTGCCGCCACCTCCAAGGAGGTCTGCAACGCCTCCAAGGAGGTCTCCAACGGCTGCCCCACCTCCCTTGATGATCAAGAAGTAGCCAGCTCCTAAGAGGTCCGCCCCGCAAATGAAGCCGTTGGCCCACCAGCCAGCAAAGAAGAAAGCATCCTCTAATCCAGTTATTCCCCAAAAACTGTCTTATGAGAAAAGTGAAAAGGAATTAAAGGATGCAGTACAAAAAGATGTGAAAAGTTTCTTCGAAAAAGTAAGAAAGCAACGAGAAGCGAGGGAGAACCCGGAGAAACCGTACTTCTACCTAGCTCCAGATCTTCTAAGAAAGAAGGTGGACCAGAAAAAGCGGGAATCTCAAAAGACCCGGCCAAAATCGAACTACGACCGCTCTCTCACCAAGTCATTTGAGGCAGCACAGAAAAAGACTAGAGCAGGGAAAGGTGTTGCACAACTCGGACAACAATCGCAATAATTAGTCCCCCCTCTTGTCATTTGTAATGAATATGGTTCAAACTTAGACTTACCGGACATCGATTTTGAGGAATTGGTTCGGTTTTACGAGGATACTGGTTTGGACCTTGCCCAAGTGCTCGCTGAAGGACCATCTGCTCTGAAAGTGGATCATTGAAAGAAATTTGAACATGGAAAGAGTCTATACAACCCTGAGGCCTTAGGTGAACTGGGTACACAAATGTACCTGCTAAACAAGTGGTACATGGCGGCATGTAAACGGGGAGAGAACTTTGTTTCTGTCAGAATTAGAAACCAACATTACTTCCATGGCGATGACGTTATATATGTCGAGTTTGGAGAATTACACAAACTATGACACCTGGACTCTCTCGACAAAAGTCTCATTAGCTGCTATTGTCTGTAAGTGTGATTATTTTCTACTATTAAAATGTATATATATAAAGCTACATGTATATATATGAATTATATATCCTCACACTATATTTTTATATATGCAGATATGAGATGACGGAACTCAGAAAGAGACAGGATAATGATGTTGGTTTCGTTGATCCAAATATCATATTCAAACACCCTGACCCCCTACCTGGATGGAAAGCTGAACTCGAGAAAAATCTCGTGAGGTTCTTAGTGAACCAATAAAACAAGGACATACTATTCCCATACAACTTCAAGTTAGTGTTAAATAATTAATGTCGATCATATGGACAATTGTTCAATTATTTGCTTACTAGCTAAGCTATCTCCTATATATACATATGTTGACTCTAGTTAATGTCGATCATATTTGTGTATAAAAGCATATGCAGCAATCACTGGATATTGATGGTCATCGATATGGCCAATAATCGGTTGAGCATCTTAGACTCGTTAAGAAAAGAGCAAACAGAGTACCAAGACATGATACATATTATTCAAGGGTAATTTGTTCTCTCTAGCAACTATATATACCCCGATCTCTTAACTGCAACAATTATTAAAGGCCAAATTTATTTTTTATTTTATTGGGCGTAGTGTTTGGAAAAGTTTCATTGAGAAACACCACATGAAACATTGCAAAGCACCACCGGATGTAATCGCACACAAAGTAAGTACTAGCTACATTTATATATATATATATATATATATATATATATATAATTCAATTAACACCATGCATGCTTTCAATTCACCAGATCTTTTTTCTGGTAAAAGTGGGTTCTGAGGCAAGAACAGGGGAACAACTACTGCGGATACTGTGTTTGTGAGTTCATCATGGCGTACTCAAAAAGAACTCCTGAAGAGAACCTCAAAGTATGTTATATAAATATATTCATATATTTACAATTTCTTTTATTGCTCATATATATAAGTAATCACGTGACCAACACACATATATATATATATTTATACTTTTCCTTTAACTTTTATTGAAGACTCTATGGTTGAAGGAAAAAGTCATACGACGTGACCAACTGAAAGCAATTTAAGAGACCATAGCAGGATTTCTTAATGACCAGGTTCTAAACCCCGCCGGCGAGTTCTACAATGACGTGAACGAAACATGGAAGCCAAACCAGATAGAGTGAATTTGTTATCCTAAGGATATGATAGAATATACAATGCAAGCTTTATTTGTAATATATATATATATATATATACATATTATATGTACATAAAATAACGATATATGTATATGCATGTAATATATACGTTAGTTACATACTTTAGTTTGTACAAAATGTTCGAACATTATAAACGTATAGAATACGTATATTATTAGCAGCGTAGAATGCGTATTCGAAAACCTATTTGAAAACCAAAACGAATCATCAATTGAAAATAGAAACAAAAAAAGAAAAAAAATAAAACCTTTAGTCCCGGTTGGTAATACCAACAGGAACTAAAGGGCCGGCCCACGTGGCTAGGTCGGGAGGCCTCTTTAGCCCCAGTTGGTATTACCAACCAGGACTAAAGTGGACCTTTAGTCCTGGGCGCGAAACCGGGACTAAAGGAGGGGCCCTTTAGTCTCGGATTCGTGCTCGCGGTTCCAAAACCAGGACTAAAGGGGGTTGAGAACCAGGAGTACAACCCATTTCTCTACTAGTGGAATATGCTATATGTATATGCGTGAGATATTGGTCAGCAAGAAATTCTGATTTCTACGGGGCAACTCGATCGAACTCTAGCTTACAATTTACTAGCCCACATATTAGTGTACTTATATGAATATGAAGTATCAGAAGTTTACTAACAGGCCATCACCCTGAAATCGAAGGGTCGAGGACGCGGCCAACAAAGATGATAGCACGAGACACCTCCTCGATCACAAAGAACACAAATGGGTGGTCAGCAACGGAATCCACCTTCACGGGCTGATCCATTCTCGCACTTGCCCCCACAGAAATCTAGCCCCGTTCGCTTCGCTAAAAAAACAAACTGAAATACTGTTCCAACTGAAAAACAAGCTAAAAAGTACAGATTATAAGACCAGCGAACAGGGCAACGGTGGCACCAATGGCAACGGTGCCACCCTCGTTCACTTCGAGCACCGCCTTATGGCAGATGTCGGCAACGTACAGCGGCGTGCCAGCAGCGTCCTCGTCGCGCTTGGCCGCCTTGTCGGCCAGGTCAGCTTCGCCAGCAACGAAAACGGAATTGATCCCCATGCCGTTTCTCAGCACCTGCCTCACGCTGCCGGAGGCGGACAGCTTGAACTTGGGCAGCCGGAAGTCCCCGACGGGGACCTGCAAGGTCGGCAGGCGGTAGTGCCAGAACCCGGGGCCGGAGGACATCTTCTCAATGAGACCTGGGAGCCCGTCCCGCTCGTCAGGCAGGAAGATGCACATGGAGTATTTCGGGGCGGGGTCATCGCCAACATTGCTCTCCGATGATGATCCCTTACGTGGTGCTGGTGCCGGGGATCTGTATGGGAGGTTGAGCACCTTGTGCCCGTTGCGGATGGCGATGTACTGGCTGCGCACTGAGCACATGAAGGGCACGTCGGCAGTGCTGCCGTCGAGGCTGTGGAACTTGTCCACCACCGTGTGCGCCTTGGCGAACTGCGCCTCCCATCTGCCCCTGAAATGGATGGCGCAGGAGAGCACGAGGCTTGTAAGTGTGTTCACTGAACTTGGATCTAGGATCGAGTCAATGTGCTTGTTAGTCGCCGCCGCCCAACAGCCGTTGATCTCGCCAACTGCCTTCTCCGGCTTCACGAAAAGAGAAAATTAAATTTTGTTTCAGTGCGATCTATTAATTAATTAAGACCTCACCTCGTTACTGAAGTCGACGGCGTGCGCCTCGGCATTGTAGGACGCGGCGGCAGCGTCGCGGAAGGCCGGCAGGAGCGCCCACGCCGTGTCATGCGACGCACCGCACGCGAACGCGACGGCCGGCCCACCCGACCGCGACCGGTCTGCGAGCGCGCGCTCCGCGGCGCGGCGGGCGAATGCGGAGAGGTTGTCGCGGGAGTCTCCGCCGAGCGCGTCAGGGAGCTCCTGGAGCGTGCCACCGTGGGCGCCGGCGGCCAGCAGCGCTAGCGCGGCGTAGATGGACACCGGCGAGAAGACGAGGTTGACGGCGGCGGTGGGGCCGCCCGGCTCCCCGGCGACGACGGGCGGCGCTTGTAGTTGCCTGGCGAAGCAGAGCGCAAGCGCCGTTAGGGCGGCGGCGTTGGATACTTGATCTCCGTCGCTTTCGCGTCATGGCTAAGTTGAATACTTGATCGGCGATGTTCTTTTTGTGTGTGTCAGGATCGAGTCGCAGTCGGAGCTCGGGATCAATAATATAAGGAACTTTTGTCTAGTTCTCATACAAATCCAATATCCGCAATTAATATTAATACCATATTAAAACTCGTATTCCATTCCAATTTCTATGCCATTGGCGAAAAAAATCTGTGTGGGCGTGGAGCCGGCGGAAGGCTCCAGATCATGCGGTCTGCAACCGTGATGCCGTCATGTGGATGCACGGCGCATGGAGTCGTGGACACGCACCAAAGAAGATATCCAGACGCCCTGCGCTCCCGGCTCGGCTCCAGATCAACATCAACTCGGATTGGCTGTTAAGCGAAGAGACGGTCGGCTCGCCTTCCAGAAAAAGCGTTGTACCGGTACCGGTACTGGTGGCACATAGTCGTCGACGGGAAAAACGGTAGCTCCTAGAGTACAAGCAAGCGCACGGGAGCTCCTACACATACTAGTGAGAAAAACGGTAAACACTAACTAAAGTCTACACTATTAAGCTACTACACAAGGCATGAGCTCAACAACACAAGCACAATATATTGCAATTAAGTAAACTTGTATTGAGATATGCAAACCATGGATGATACACAATGTTTTCCCCATGGTTCAGTAACTTACCGGTCACTTAGTCCATGTTGAGGCGCCGGCGAGTTCTAGGATTGCCGCTCCTCTTGTTAGCTCCAAAGCCCGCAAGCTTCGGACTGCCCCGCAAGGTAGGCTCCGACTTGAGCATTAAACCTTGAGCCAGACGAATCAATTAGACACCCACACAAACCTCGATTCTACTAGACATGCTCTTTGCCTTCCTCCGGTGGGGATGAGCTCAATAGCCCCTCACAAATCCTTCTCCGGAGCACCGCACAATCTTCTTGCGTGTTTCACGGAGATACAATCACCAAGCCATCTAGGAACCAACAAGTTCAAAGAGTAACAAGAAACCACACTTGCGAATCACCACTTAGTGCCACTCGATTAGTCACTCAATTAATTGCACTAGGATCAATATCCAAGTCACTAAACTTGTCTCACATGAAGTATATGAGTAGGAGAGGTGAGGAGAGGCTCTCTTGATGTATGTCAAGTTTCCAAAGTGCCAAGATGTAATAGTTCCTTTCATTTGGTATCTTTTGGCATCATATAAACTGGCCTTTGCATTGCATCCTAGCAAGTAGATAGGTTTTTCATTTAGTATTCATTATTATTTGCTTACTTTGGTCGTGTTGTCATCAAGCACCAAAAAGGGAGAGATTGTAAGGAAAATGGACCCTTGTCCATTTAGTTTGGATTTTGGTGTTTGATGATCAACATGACCAAGTTGGACTAATATGTTTGCAAGTGTTTATTTTGTAGCCCAATAGGTTGCATGGTGGACTTGGATTTATTTGGAGCGAGAAGAGTTTGTTCAACAACAAAAAGAGAACCTTAGAAGATGTGTTGACAACTTAGAAGGGAAAAGAAGAATCCAAGACGCAAGAAGGAAGAAGCCCGAAGAAATGAAGACGAAGATACGCGAAGAATGGAGCAACGGGTTGCTGCATCAGCAGCACCAGACATGTCCGGTGTTGCATCGGACACCCCACCGGATGGTGCATCTAGAGAGCAAGCAGCACGGGCTTCAGCAACCAGAGGGCACCGGTGTGACCGGTGTGCACCGGTTATGGTGCACCGGACACGGCGTCCAGAGAGGTTGCAATCGGGTTGGAGCCGTCCATAGGGCACCGGTCATCACCGGTGTCGCACCGGACACCTAGCATCGGACAGGTCCGGTGCACCAGTCATACACTGTGCTCCAATGGTCGGCTGTCAGAAGCCTAATGGCTAGTTTTGGAAAGGGCAACGGACATGTCCGGTGTACCGCACTAGACATGTCCGGTGACTGCGCAAAAAGCTGTTGCAGTTTTCAACGGCTAGTTTTGGCATGGGGGCTATAAATACTTGCTCCAATCGGCCATTTGAGGGGTGGAAGAGCTGAGGGAAGGTGCTAAGGTATTCATACACCATATTGGAGCTCTCCATATGCATAGGGCTTAATAGATCACTTGGTGATTAGCGCAGGTGCTTTGCAAAGTGCTTAGGTTAGTTAGACCACGCTCATATGCGCTCGCTCAAGGTTTAGGCCTAGTGTTTATTGAGGTTTGCACACCTCTTGCCGCTCGGTGCTTGCGTGCACCATTGTTGTACTCGGCGGGGCTTGTAGTCTTGTGAGACCACACCAACTGCATTTGTGCTGTGGCTGCCACTGTGTACTAGAGGGAACAAGCCCTGCGGCTTTTCAACCAGAAGCTTGATAGTGAAGACGGTAGGGAGCGGTCCGGGAGAGGCTTGCGGGAAGGCACACAACGGAGACCCACTTGATCATGGGGAAGGCCCGGGGCTATCCACAGAGATACCCAACCTGGATCTTGGCCCTTGCGAGGGGCTCCAACAAGGACTATGGGGGAGCTTACACGCTTCTCGATACCTCAGTAAAAATACCAGAGTTATCGATGGTAGTTTGCATCTCTACCTCACTTAAGCTTCCGCATTTACATTGTGTACCTTGGTTGTGTGCTTTACCTTTCCTAGCTTAGTTGATAGGCTAGTTGTTAGGCTTGGAACCTAGGTTGCATAACTCTTTTGCGGTAGAGATATCAACACACCTAGCAAAACCGTAGTTGCACATTTAGATAACTTACTTTATTGCATAGGTTTTGCTAAGGCTGAAAATAGAGGCCATAGTTAGAAAATAGATTTTAAGTTGCCTAATTCACCCCCCTCTTTGGCGTCACTATCCTTACAAGTGGCATCGGAGCCAGGTTGGCTCATATTGGACCCTTGGTTTCACCGCCGTTGAGCCGATGCCGTTTAGAGAGGGAAGGATGGATACCTTTAGGCCTCCGCACTTTGACGGCACTAATTTCCCCTACTATAGTGATAGAATGGCTTGCTACCTTGAAGCGGTAGATCTTGGTGTTTGGAGAGTCACCCGCGATGGGATGAAATCCCTTAAGAATCCCGACAAACCAACTGCGGGTGATGAAAAAGAAATTCACCTTAACGCTAGAGCTAAAAATTGCTTGTTTGAAACTTTGAGTATGGAAAATTTTAACCAAGTGTTCACCTTAAAAAGTGCAAATGAAATTTGGTTAAAATTGCATGTGCTCCATGTCGGCACAAGTAATGTCCGTGAACAAAAACATTGCCTAGCTAAACAAAGTTTTGACTCTTTTAAAATGAATGAAAATGAGCTTGTTCATGATATGTATTCTCGTTTGAATCTAATTATCAATGAACTCAATTCTATAGGATTGAAAAATCTAGGTGATGCGGACATTGTGAGGAAGATCATCTCTATTCTACCACATGACAAGTATGCATGCATCATCACTATCCTTCACCACATGGAGGACTTGAGCAACATGACCCCGACCATTGTCATTGGCAAGCTTGTGGCATATGAAATATCACGCAAAATAGGTCAAGAAGAAGCCTTCTCATCAAGCAAAGGCATTGCTCTCACATGTGGTAAGCAAAAGAAGATGAAGGGCAAGCAAGTTGAGTCAAGCTCAAGCTCAAGCTCCTCAATTGATGAAGAAGAAGATGAGGATGAGGATGATAATGAAGAATCAAGTGATGATGATCAAGCCTCCACCTCCTCCTTGGACATTGATGAAGATACAATCAAGCTAATCGAGAAGGTGGTGAAGAATATTCACAAGTTGAATATCAAGGGTGTGCCCATCCAAATTGAAGATTGCCTCTTCACAAACCAAAGAAGAGAGCAAAGAAAGAAAGGATGCTATGGATGCGGCAAGAGAGGGCACTTTGTGGAAGATTATCCAAACAAGCCCAGACCCAAGGCAAAGAAGGAGGCATGCAAGGCAAAATCCCTCACAACAATCAAGACATGGGATGATTCTTCAAGTGAAGAAGAAGTCCATAACAAGAGGCGCGGCTACAAGCACTCATCATCAAGCTCTTCTCATGTGTGCCTTATGGCATGAGGTAATGAAAGCTCATCCTCTAGTGAGAGTGATAGTGATGATGACATGCCTTCTTATGATAAAATTGTGCAAGATAATCTTGATTATGCTAAGCTTTACACTAGCCAACAAAAGAAAATAAAAGAATTAAAAAGAAACATAGATAGCTCACAACAAGCTTATAATGTGTTGCTTGAACAATATGAAACTTTTGCCTATCTCAATGTGGAGCTATCTACTAAAATTGAGCAACTTGAAGCTAGTGCAAGCATAAATGAAATCACAACTAATGATGAGCAACTTGTGAAGAAAAATGAGAAACTAAAGGCAAAGTTAGCTATCTCACAAGAAGCTTATAAAAGTTTGATTACTAAAATGGAAACCCTTTGCAAACATTGTGATGAGCTAACTAATAAAGTTGCTAATCTTGAGGCCATCAGTGCAACCCCCACCGAGGCACCTAAAAAGAAAAGATCAATCTTTGAAATGCCTAAAAAGGATGCCTCTATTTCTTGTAATGATTTATTTAAATTGGACTCACCTCTTTGCGACCAAGTTTGTTTTAAAAATATGATTGTAGAAACATATACACAAGAGGTTGCAATGGAGAATGAGCAACTCAAACAAGATGTAGCTCGCCTCACCAAGGACTTGATCCAAAAGAAAGGCACGACGGAGCAAGCTCAACCTCATCAAGATAACACCATCAAGGAAGTGAAGAAGCTCAATGAGGGAGCAACCGTGGTTTGCTATGTATGCCACAAGGAAGGCCACAAGTCCTATGAGTGTAAGGTGAAGAATGGGGGAGAAAAGAAGAAAGAGAAAAATAAAAAGCAAACAAGCAAGCTCTCCAACACCCACACTAACAAGGTGAACAAGAAGGCCTCCACACCTTATCTTTTGAAGAAGAAGAAGAATAACAAGGTGGTGGCCATCAAGGTGAATAGGCAAGCCAACACAAGTGGGGCCAAACTAATATGGGTGCCAAAGGAAATTATTTCAACCTTGAACAGCACCAAGAAGGTTTGGATCTCAAAGGGGAAATGAGAAGTCCAATGGACTTCGGTGAATTTGGAGACTTGGTTTTGTTTAGGTGCATATCATGGGATGCATCACGTTGGATCATATCATTGCCAAGTGGGTTAGTGAAGACTATGGGCCCAAATTCCCCTTCCCATGTTAGGTAACTAGATTTAAACTCTTGCAATTTCAATTAGCATCTAGTTCCTTTTCATGCCTAGGTTTGCATTTCACATTTAAATTCTTGTCATGCATACACTAGGTAAATCATATGGTAGGGTTGCTCGGTTTCACTCTTACCCTTGGAGAAAACCTACATGGTTTAAATTGTTTAGGAGCACGTGAAAGGTCCTTTTTTGGTTTTGGTAATTGAGTGACAACCTAGGTGGACTAATATGTGTTTA